AGAGACCTGGAGGTCAGTTTCCCAAAAGCCAATCCCTGAGAACCCCACGGTGCACCCGGCTACACACGGCCGGGGTCACCACGAGTCGGCTGGCACTCACACCTGGTGTGGTCTGGGCCGGAGAAGGACACGCCAGCTGGGAAGGATAATGTCTGGGTGGGGATCGGAGAAGGACAAGTAGGGAGAGGGGCCCCAGGACCAAGTCTCCACTCTGTGGACGAGCCCTGGACTTGGCTCCTTGGAGACCAACCCCCGTCGGGCTTTGCCACATGCTCGCATGTAAGGATGCTGCATCGAGTGCAGTGATGGGGTCCCCGGGAACCCCGTGGCGCAGTGGTTAAACCCTGCGCTCGTGGAAAGGTCGGCAGTTCAGACCCAACAGCAAGAGAAGGATGTGTCAGTCTGCTCCTGTAAAGGCTGGCAGCTGGGGAACCCCATGGGGGCAGTGACGCTGCCTTTCAGAGTCGCCGCGAGTCAGAGCCGACGGCGGCAGTGGGTGCTGGATCTGCAGGAGCCAAGGGCACCCAGAAAGGGCAGGGTTGGTGCCGCGTCACAGTGTTGAAACCTCTGCCTGCCTGGCTGCTGCCCTGGGGGCTGGGGGCTCTGGCTGTGCAGAGCTGAGCTGGCAGGATGGAGGGTTTTTCCTCTGGCCTCCTGTGCAGATAAGCCCCTGTGTCTTCCCCTCAGTCACGTGAGGGGTGGGGTGAGGTGGGGTGCCCTTTGAGGCAGGAAGGGTTCCCTCCTTGACAGTGCTCCACAGCTCAGTACTCATTTGTAGCTGGCTGGGCCTCAGAGGAGCCCTGGCGGCCTAGTGGTTTTGCTCAGGGCTGCTAACTGCCAGGTCAGCAGATTGAAAGCAGCAGTCCGCCCTCAGGGGAAAGATGAGGCGCCCCACCCCACCCCCGATACAGAGTTAGGGTCCCAGAAACCCAGGGCAGCTTTGTTCTGTTTTGTAGGGGCTCTGTGAGTCAGAATAGGCTCAGTGATGGAGAACTTGGGTTTTTTGGGGTTTTGTTTTTAATCTACTCCAGCTCCACATTTTATAGAACTCTCACAGTCCAACCGCACGTCTGGTCCCACATCAACCCTCACCACAGGTGGGGTGATCTCAGGGCTCTTTGCTTGCCTTTCCGGGTTGGAAGCTGATGGCTAGAAACACCTGTAGCTTTACAGAGAAAAAGCTGGGCGCTGTGGAAGGTCAGACCCTGCCACAGAAGGGAATCTCTCCACGCACGGAGAGCGGTAGGTACATCGTGAGGCTGCCAGCCCTGCCAAAGGTGGAAGACTGGTGAGACTCGAGCTAGCAAGGCAGTCCTATTGAGTTAGGTTCCCCCAAACCCACCCCCACACTCCTCGCCATCGTCGACGCTGACTCACAGAGACCCTACAGGACAGGGTAAAACTGCCCATGGGTTCCTGAGACATGACTCTTTCCAGGAGTAGGACTAGCTCAGTTGCTGACCCTGTGATTCACAGCCCAATGTATGACCCACCACAGCCACAGCATGAATCAAGTTCTCATCAAACCAAAGCCCACTGGCATTGACCTAAAGATCAGGGTAGAGCTGCCCTGTGGGTTTCCAGAGACTCGCCTTTTACAGGAATAGAAAGTCTTGTCTTTCTTTCTCGAAGCTGGCTCGTGGTTTCAAATTGCTGACCTTCCGGTTAGCAGCCCACTATGCGGGTACTGTGCCACCAGGGACCTTGGATTCCCATGGGGTTTCGTTAAACGTATACATGTTATACACACGTGTAGACATACATAGGTAGAAAGATAGGTTTGTCTAAGTTTACGGCATTAGGCTTGTCTAATCTACCTTATCTGTGTGCCTGTGTATCTCTCTGGCTGTCTGTCTCGTTTAGATCTATCTGTCTGTCTGTCTGTTTTCCACTTGACTAGACAAAGCTGTGTGCATTTCCCGCTGTGTAACTACGTAGGCAAAGCAAACAAGCCTTTTCCTAGCCTGAACCGCTGCCTCCAGCTGTGGTGGGACCCTCCTGGGATTCCCCATGCCCTTTCTCCTTGAGGTTGATGGGTGGTGGGTAGATGTGGGTGCAGCTGACGTTTCTGGGCGCCCTCCCCAGCGGGTGCTGGGGGCTGCGCAGTTGCAGAACTCCACGTGGCTTCCTACCTGCCCCCAGTTTCACGCTGAAGTCAGCAAGCCTACGCTCAGCATTTGCAGCCTGACAGACAGACAGACAAACACCCACGCTCGTACCCCCAGGCCTTTGCCATTCCCGGCCTGCAAGGCCCTCTAGAGCTCACCTGTTCCCGGCATGCCATCCCTGCTCACCATCCTCCGGCCTCTCATTCCCTGCAGAGGGCTTGCTCGATCCTGACCCTGCCGCTGATTCCCTCTCGTAATTTTCCGTTTTCATTCGCCGAGGGCTGGGGAGATGCAGTGCGTGTTGTCAGAGCGATTCTGAAATCGGGGCTTAATTGGGTCCTTGGGGCCTTCACTGTGAGGGGAGTTCAGGCCACTCACCTGCCTGAACTCTGGCTTCTCATCTGGGGCCTGCACACCGCGTCGGCTGGTGGTTAAATGGCCCAGCTAGTGGCCTGTGAAGAGGCGGACCTTCTGTGGGCCTCTGGGACGGGGCCTGTGCCTTTCACAGCCACCAAAGGGGCCGGGATGAGAAGAGAGAGCAGGGCCACCTGGCAGACTGGCC